TTTAGGGTTTAGGGGTTTAGCCGGTTCGGCTTGGGTTTAGACGTAGGGCTTCGGGTCTTGACCGGTTTGGCCTTCATTGGTTTAGGGCCATGTTTGAGTTCTGACCGTGTGGACTTCAAGGGATTTCGGGGGCTGTTGCGTGTTTCGCACATCTTAATTCTAGGTAGGTTTTTTGTTATATTTTATATATTTCCCTTATTGGGCTTAAGAGGACCCTATTTATACTACTATTTTTCACAGGCTTTAAAGGGCCAACAAGTATTTGCTTAAAACCTCCTTTCGAGGATTTTGAGGAGAAAGGGGTTCGAAGACGAACTAAAGCCTGAACCCTTTACCAGCTTTGCAGCTAGCAGCCTTTGGTAACCCCAGCGCCACCACACAGCCCCCGAGCCAAACCCCCAAAAATCGAATTATTACGCTGGGAAATGCGTAAGTTAGTTTGATGTTTGCAGGGTTCTATGAGCCAATCCTGCCTTAGGGTTTAGGGTTAGGGTAACGTGATGACACACACACACAGACCCCCGCAATCGAATTGAAATCCTTGCTTAACCCCGAAACCCTTAAACATCTTCATGGTTGAATGGTTGTCTAGCTCAAGTGACCTTACCCGTCAGGCTGCGATGCATAGAATTCGTTCTTTCGTCATGTGCTTACAAGTGCCGATGCGTGACTAGTTGAACGATCCATTGGGATGCGCTGCTGTTGAGAATCTTTCGGAGAGCCTTACCGGTCATGACAGTGTTTAGCTTTCGGCAGCGTTCTTCCTCCTGCACGTGACGCGGGGCAGATAAGCTCGCTGCAACAAGGAGGCTTCTGGACCGACGGGAGCACCAACAAAAGGAACACACTATGATTTAGGGGCCTTACCACACAGAATAGGTCCTTTCGGGGCCGTGAATAATACCTATTCTATCAAACACCGCCCAAGCCGCCCCAAACCCCATTCTAATCATTAAGGCACCTGTATTAGACGAACGAAGATGTCTGGAGATGGGCGAGGCTTCAGACAAGAAAGTGTTGCTACAGCGTTTTCCCATGGAGAACAAGTGAGGTCAAACTCTGACCGGCTTGGTGACATACCTGCCTCACGGAAGGGCTGATGTGAGGCAGCGGGTTGGAAGGAAACAGAAAAGCTCGGACAGGAGATGCCAGACGAGCAAAGAAGGAGAAGGCACTCGGAGGAGAATGCCTGTGTGATCGGCACTTGTGATCGGATGAAATCTGCGAGAGCCGACAGTCAACAATAGTGAGCAGCGTGCTCGTGCTGCTTGCATTTGTCATAGTCATCCTCATGGTCCTCTTCTTCAGCACCATCACCGCCGCCATCATCGCTGTCATGATGACCATTAGCAACAGTATCTTCGCCATTTTCAACATAGTGATCATCACTACGCAGCATCATCGTCGCTATCTTCACCTTAAACGTATGATGTCAATCCTCAAGCGTTGATGTCCCGCACAGCCCTGCAGACCACAAAGTACGTTCCAAATGGATTCGTGACCCTGTCACATGCCAGCACATTCAACCCCGCATTTAAAACACAGCTCTCCCAAATTTGCTAAAGCCCTAAACCCTAAAAGGGGTAAGTCATCCAAACCAATATTCCAGCCAAACATAAGTGAAACTCCGTTGGTCCGAGGTTGTTTGTGGATTTTCCATGTCCTGGGGGAGGGATTGGAAACCTCCTTTCCTTCAGATTGCAGCTTCAAGCATGAGAGATCACGTCAATGATTTCAGGCTGCGACCCCAGACCATATGCATTTAGTTGGGGAGTCTGGGTTGCTGTTAATCATCTCAGCACAAACTTCAAGAAAGCGCCGGATGCATTAGGGTAGACTGCCCGCTATGTCTTCAGAAGACACCGATGTGGATGCGCTATCCGAATCGGAGTCTTCTACTGCAACCGATGTGGGTGCGATAGAAAGTTCTCGGGACTCCCATGAGTCGTACTCTGGAGATGACTCAGAGTATTCAACCGAATATTCTGTCTGCTACGACTCGAGCTCCAGCGATGCGGGTCTGCCAGACTGGGAGGATGCTTGCAAGCGGGCAAAGCAACTTATCGATTGAATTATGTGTTGTCCTGATTGCTTGAATAGGAGTCTTGTGTCAACCATCTGACATTCGTGTGCAGTGGGTAGCTCAGGCGAGAGCCCTTCCTGTGCCACGAGCTGAACAAGAGGCAGCGAAGTTATCTATCTGGCTGGGCAAACCCTATGTTGTGCCGTACAGGATACTGGTAAGCATTGTGCATGCCGGTGTGAGCTTTACTTTTTTTTCCGCTTGACAAGCTGCATGTTCACTTGAGGAATGCTTGCCAGAGTGAAACGCTTTTTGAAGTATGACTTCCCTGTGATGTCCGACTGTGCCTTGGGCTTTTATGCATGCTACACTTCCGCGTTGCAAGGATTTGAACGATCGTTTGCTGCTTGTTGCTATGCACAGCTCTCGAGGTTCAGGCGCGGAAGGCGGCATTCTTGCGCTGCAGGCCTTGGGAGTCCAGGCGGGTACCATGGTCATGTAGTCTCACTTGAGGACATCCGAATTCCCTACAGCCCTACAAACGTTTGAGTCAGGTTGATCACATCTCCAGCTCCGAGATAAACTGCATAGCTACGGATTTCATCGCTAGGAACTTCAAGCCGCGTGTGCTGCTTGGCTTTGCATGCCTCAGTCTTGTTTAGGGCTAAATAAATGTAACACTTCGTTACCCCAGCCCCCGGTGTCGCTCTGTAAGGTTCTACCCGGATGTATGTGACCGAGAGCTGCGCCCTGCCAACAAGAAATGCGGTGCCCTGATAGCAGGGTTTCCATGCCAACCGCTGCTTGGCCTTAAAGCCTGTCTGTCGCTGAGTCCATTTTGCAACATGTCAGCTGTCTCAACAGTCAATGTACATCATATTCAGGTTTAGTGTGCTTCGGGCCGATACTGATCTCCTCGAGGAGGAGGCCTGGGAATGAGGTTGAAACCATATGGTCCGTGCTCGGGTTCACTCGGAGTTCGATGCTGTCGAGCAACGCACAGGCTGCGCAGCCCTTCTTTCACATCGTGGACACCATCGGGAAGTCCCTTGGCTGGGTCTAAGAGTCTAGGTGGTTAAGAAGAACGTCAAGCGTGGTGTACTGAGGCTTCGGGTTCCCATTTATATCCTCGAAAACGTGATGGGAATTAAGCGATGCCTGGGGGCAGTACAAGCCCGGCTAGGGAGGCTGAAAGAGTATGTTCATGGCATCATGGAGATTGACAGCAAGGCCATCGGCGACGTCGTTAGCAGGCCGCGGCTGTATTTTGTCGGCATCCACAGGCCGGATCATCATCTAATTACCCCTACCACGCCCCCCCACACCCCATAATCTTGCGAATCATTCAATGAATCCCTCGACGATTCATATCCCTCGACGATTCATCGCAGGAGTGTCGCAGCCCCTGGCATCTCCTCGAATGCGAAGCTACAGAATGCCCTGGACAGCATCCTTGCAAAGGCTAAGAAAAACTGCCCTCCACCAACGCCCTGGTGTGGCCTGTTGCTGGATGATGTGGCCCAAGAGGCACCCCCCAAAAGGCGGAGGCAAACCCAGTTCGATCTTCGCTATGAGAAGCTCGGCCTTGCATCTAACTTTGGTACTGCATGTCCTCACACCTCGTCATGTCATTCACCCCAGCCCAGAGAATATCGATGCTTCGGCTTTTAAGGCCTCATGATACAGGATTGCAGTGGCCTTCCATTCACTTCAAGTTTATGAAGGAGCACAAGGCCCCACTGCATGGGTTCTCAATGAGCTTCCCTACATCCCGCCACTTCCGAGGTGAACCCCAGGAAGCTGGTTCACTCGGACTTCGCCCGCGCTGCCTTTGGAGATCAAAGGCGGCAACATGCACCCCGACTGTTTTGGTGTTGTTTCTCGTTCGAGTCAAGTCAAACGACATGGTGCAGTGTCTCAATTTGCAAGTGGATTAAGGCAATAGACGTGTTGGCAACGATGCACGGCGAGAAGCGACCCGCGATTGTAAACGTGAGCCAGCAACTGCACCGCATGCACGTGCAGCGCAAGTTCATCCCCTGCTTGACGCCACAGTGCAACATGTATCTACTTCACCGTGGTCGCTGTTTGACAGGCCAGGACATGTAGTTCGTTATGCAGAACGCAGAACGGAGTTAGACAGTCGCTGAAATTCTCGTTGTGGCGAGGCCTCGAGATGATGCTGTTTCAGGGCTTTGATATCGGCAAGCTCAACCTGTACGGTCTGGACGACAAGGACCGGTGCACTCCTGTCTTAGATCTGGGGTCTTCTTACTGGTCAACCTCACGTTCCGATTCGTTAAGTTTAAATTCGTAGTTGTGCGGAGATGTAGCCTCGAGTCGTCAATAATAGTGATAATAGTGGTGATGCTGAATACATTGCAGTGGGCCGACCGTGTAGTGTTGGTGTGTGTGGTCAGTCTAGTAGCTTAGTTAGGGGTTGTAGTCGGTTATAACTGTCCCTTCTGGAAGCACGACCCGACCCAAGTAAGGTTGCAATTAGTCCAAATACCGTGATCGCTGCTAGTGTAGGCAATGTGCATGTGTCTTTAAGTCTGGTCCTGGTCTGATGTTCCTGGCAAATCAATGTGGTGGTACTCTCCCTGTTTCTGGTGACGTGTCGTTTCTTAGTTAGTTCCCCGAGACATGGGTTTCACTTGTTCGGGTTCGACCCTACATAAAACTGGATTATCGGGCTACGCCCCGCCCTAGCCTAGTGTTTCGAGTCTTTGCCAGTCGTTTTAAAGAGTGGAGGCAACTTTCCATTTGGGGTTTCGTCTGTTTCTGGTTCTTGGGCATGAAAGTGTCTTTAATAAGCTTTTGGACTAGTGGTTGTTCAGAGTCACTCGAGTGGACAATGAGGCTTTACAGGCCTGGGGTTGGTCGGATAAGCAAAATTGGAATTCGGCTGCTTGTTGGTTTAGGTTCATTGTGCTCGCGGGTCGTGATTTTGTATTGGCGGAGTTACTTTCACAGCTTTTGATACTCTGAATTGATCAGACATCGGCCGTGGGGTTTCATGTGGTTTCAGACAAGGCCCGGTTCGATGAGCATCATTACTCTAGCGCTCGGCTTCAATTTGGAAGTTGTGGCTAGTATTCTCCCCTTGGGAAGCGGGTTTCGACAGGTTTTAGTTAAAGGGGTGCCCTTGGATTAGCAAGTTAATTACTTACTCTTCTTGAGTAACAAAATTTACGCTAAATTGGCTCTAGGTCTCACTCGGAGTGGGGTTGGGAGGCAGCTCTAGGGTTGGTAAGACTTCAGATTAAAATCTTGGTTAGCTCGATGGGTCCTACATCTGACTGCTGGTTTTGAGCCGTGTTGGCTCGAGGTTCAATGGGCGACTTAATTCGATTCGACATCGACTTTAATTTTGTATACCGGCCAAAGTGCCGGTAACAAATTAAAGACGACCAGTCCCAAGCTGACTCATTCTGCTTGCTGTGTCGTTGCCGCATGCTGCTGACAAACACGACTGACGGAGATTGACTTAAGCCGCATGGCATGCTAGCAAAAAAAAAGTAACTGCTTAGTAGGCCCAGCTCTGTTTGTCAAACAAACCCTACTTCATATGAATCCTGTGTCTGTTGGTCATTGTATTCGTGGAATTCACCTCCTTTGCGGCTTGCTGATGACTCTATCATGGGGGGGGGGGTGAACTATGCTCTCATAAATCTTATGTGTAAGGACCTAAGTTTAAGCCTATAGACAAGTATCTGGGCCCCCGGAAGATAAGTATTAAAAGCTGTGTAGAATTCAATCAATCCACGGCGGTCGGAGTGTCACAGACTTATAATAATGTCGATGATTGGTGTTGGGACTTCAACAGACCGAACCAGTGACTCGAAAGTTCCGGCCGGCGTGTGTTCACAGGATCTGAGAAGATTGGCCGGGAATGTATCGTTGCTGCAAACAGATGTTTTTTCTTCCCAGTGTCCGTGGTTTGTTGCTTGGTTGCTCAAGTTCCTGGTTTCGGTTAGACTCGATGGCTAATTGAGGCGATGAACATACGTTCCGCGGCACTGGCGTGGCTTGGGGCCTTTTGCTGCACAGATTTGAGTCACCTCCACGAGGAGAACCATGCTCGAATCAGCATTGGTGTGGCTTGAGGTCTTAAGTGCAACTGATCTGAGTCACCTGCAACAGGAGATACATGCTCGCGGTGGCAGCTGATTTTGGCCGAGCTGGTCTCTTCGGCCGCAAAAAGCTTGTTGTGCATGTGTTGTGACGGGTGTAGGATGGGTCATGTTGTGATTGCATTGAGCTTTGTGTGATGTCTCCGGTCTGAGGAAGCGCTCTTATGGAGATGAGTGGCCAGTGGTATGATTGAACTGCGTGGGCCTGTGGTGTGCCGAAACAAGCTCCGCTCCTTTCAGTTTGTGTGCGCAGCATGACTCACGGTTCAGCATTCAAACCGCAGTGCCCGAGTCAGTTGTTTCATCGGCCGGCCGAATGCAAGCTTCTTGTTCGAGATAACTACTTCAGCAGCTTCGAGTTGTTCTCCATCCTACAATCCATAATCCCGCGAAACTTGTAATCAACGATTTAGGTTTCTGCATGGTGAGGGTGTGCTGTAGTAGCGGACGTGAAGCTGAAGCTTCAGACTCATGAGTGTTGTATTCACACATGACTCACATTAAGTGTTTCTGTTCTGCTGACACGTTGGACATGCTGTACTTGGACAGTCACATGTAATAATGAGGGAGATTCTCATTGCTAGTACAGCAGCAGGAAGATCTATCATGTGTGTTTCAGGTCCCCTGGTACGGTAGTTAACCCTGAGACACCATGGTGAAACGAAAGACTCGAAGTTGGAACTCGGAGTCGGGTTCATCCAATGATTCGAGTTCGGGCGATGCTGAATCCAGCTCGTCCGATGGTGGGTCAGAGGACACTTCCTCTTCGGATGATGGGTCAGAGTACAGCTCCTCTTCGGATGATGGGTCGGCATCACAGCAGAACCCAGCGATTGCAAGCTTTTCACTGAGCCAGGTCTCGTTTGGTGAGGAAGATTCCGGCTCCGAAGATGCTTACCAGTCCAATGGCAAATCAGTCAAGGGTGTTCGGAGGGCTTTGAAAACTCCGTGCTGTGCCCGGCAGTTCAAGCGCCGGCTTGTGTTTAGAACAGTCATGTGCTTGGTGACCTCGTTTTGGGCGCTGACCAAGTCAGGGCAAGATGCGATTCTTTGGAGCCTTCAGCATCCAATGTGGATGCCTCAGGCTGAGGACGAGGAGGAGGAAACGTCCGGTACCAGCAGCAGCAGCTCCAGCAGTGCATCATCAAAGACCACTGGCAACGTGGCTTGGTACTTGGAAGGTGGGGTGGCCATGGGTTGTCAAGCCTGCATGCAGCTGTTAGTGAAGTGTTTGTGTTGATGGTTTGTTTCGGGTAGGTCGCAGAGTCTGCAGAGCTGCGTTCGTGAAGATCCTGGGCATTTCCCCGGGGCGACTTGTTCGATGCCGCTCCACCTTTCGCGGACGGGATTTGAGGGTCTATCGTGCCTGGTCGGCTTTAAGAGTTCTAGGATGATGCACAACGCTACTTGGATTTCTTGTTGCTCTGTGGATTCTGATGAAGAGGTCTTGCTTCAGTTGCCAAGGCCAGCCTGTCACGTCGAGTCCAATGTATGCATCCTGCGTCTCTTTCATCGAGAAGCTCTATTGGGGCATAGCGGAGCCTTTGCCACACGAGCTACTCGTCCTTGGAATGAAGTGTTCGAGTACAGTGCTAAAGCAGCAGTTCCATGTGGCAGCTTTTGCAAGTGCTTGTCGTTGTGCAGTAGATGCAGGCTGAAGGTGAAAGAGGGGTTGACTGGCCGCACCCTCACCACGGATAAGTTCCAAGCTGACACTCTCAGATGTATGCTGGATGCAACATTGCAAGAGGAGTTGCAGGGTATATTGCCTCCCAAAAATCTTCCGAGGAAGTTTCTTCCCCCCGGCAAGCGTTCAGACCTGTACCATTTATATCTTTCGTCCTGTATGTCGGCTGGTGCTCCCGTGGCTTCCATCAGCACATTTTACAGGGCATTCCATGCATCAGGCTATGACCGGATCCTGAAATTCCGACACAAAACACAGCACACGCAATGTGCAATTTGCCATCGCCTGAAAGCTGCTATCGCCCACTCTTCAGACTTCGTGGAGCATGCTAAATTCTGTGACGAGTATCATCGCCATCTTGCTGGCATGTTTGCAGATCGCAAAGTCTATGCTAGCCTTCGAGCAAGAGCAGCCTGTCAGCAAGCCAAAAGTTAGATTTGCTGATTTGTCCACCAGCAAAAACCTTAAGTTCAGGTTTGTTGTCGTGTTATGTATGGTCCTGCTACCTGACCTGTTGTCATTTGTTGCCACTAAAGGTCATCAGAGACCGAGACATTTTGCTTGGAATCGTGGATGGAATGGACCGCTCCAAGTATTGCTTGCCGCGCTGGCACAACCAGAGAACCCCTAAAGGGGCCGACAAGAGGCAGCGTCCGTCTCTTGATGTGTATGCTGTTATACTGCACGGTCGATCTGTCAACATCTACATAACCGACGAGAACCAAACCACGGGTGCCAATTGGGCCATGGAAATTTGGGCGAGGGCAGTTGAGAAAGAATGGATGAAAGCACAGCGGAACGGCCAGGCTTTTCCTGCACACTGCATTTTATTTGGAGACAACACGTCTCGTGAACTTCGCAATAGCTGTGTCAGCAAGGTGTTTTCGGCCATGACCGCTGCTTCTATATTTACATCATGCAGCTTGAAGCATCTTCCAGTGGGACATACTCACGAAGATGTTGGCTAGAAGCCCGGAGGGATTTTGCTCGGGGTGCCATCTTAAGTTGAAGTGTACACAAGTCTATGTCTTCAAGTTGTTTGGGGCCTTCAGTTGTATCCATGACCTGGTTGTGGTGACTAAGATGCATTCTTTGCCTTGCTGACTACGATGATCAGGGATCGTGGTATCGATTTGCATGCCGGCAGCAGCAATATGCGCATGGACCATGCAGCAGAAACAGCAAAGGTGGAGGAACTTTGCTTTTGAGTAGGGTGACATCTCAGGCAATGCCCACGGGATGTCGTGAACCTCTTGAAGCGGAAGCTAGAGCGTCTTTTTCAAGACCGGCCCGAGGATGTTCATGTCGAGCATGTTACCATCATCCGTGATTTTGACAAGGAACTCCCTGTGTCTGCAAAGATTTACAACATCTTTCGCAAAAGGAAACATGACGATGATGAGCACAAGGTGATTCCTCACTCGTTCACTTTCGTGCGCAGAGAAAGACACTTGGGTCAAGTCAGAAAGCAGTGATTGGACAGACAGCTAGCATTGCTGTGTTTGAGTGCAGTGATAACAAGCCAAGGTTTGCCCCAGCCTTTACTTCGCGATGCCAGAGAGAACTTACCACGCAGATATCCCAAACACGAGGCGGATGTCTTCTGCTATGTCAAGCGATACATCAGTGACATCGATGTCAGTCAAAAGGCTTTGGTAGTCGTTCCGGGATGTGTTCTGCCACAAGTCGTGGCTGCTTGGACACGACTATCTACAGCTGCTTGTTCTTGCTGCATGACCGCAAATAATTTGTGATCCTTGGGCAGGTTCCTTGAAGTGTGCTTGTATTGTAGCTGTTGCTGCACTTTCTTGCCTGGGTGTTTGCGTGGGAGTCTTTGTCCGGCGAGCTCATCGCAGCTAAACTTGTATGAAATGCACTTGTGCTGAGGCCTGCCTCGTGACCTGGACCAAACGAAGATCGATGAGTTCACAGATTTGGCAGATTGGTTGGAGAAGTGTTATGTCAGGCAATACCCCCGAGGAGTTTTGTATCTCCGGCAACTAGCCGGAGAGGTTGCCTTCCCCCAGGAGAGACTTCCTGTCTTGCAGTTTTTGAATCCGCAACATGTGCAGGCGAGGGTTGTGCCCAGAATCAACCTGCCTGATCCTCTAGAGAATGATGTGCATAACTTGCGGGTTCAGTTTCACCGTATCTAGATCAGATCAAAGGTGCACGCGTGACTTCGAGTGGTCTGGTGAGGTATTAAACGTGCTTCGGAGCTGCCGCCTTGCCAGAGTGGTGTCCTATTCCACATGCTGCCAGCTGAACGTGTGGGTGACACAGAACAGTTGAATGCTTTGAACTGTGGTTGACGAGCTTGGGCTCAGCAGATTTCGTAGTGGATCCTGACAAACAGGACGAGGCGAGGTGTCTTTGCCTATGGACGTGAAGGCAGAGGCAGCTGAAGCCAAGCCCGATGATGCGGGCTCGCAAGTATGTGGGGTGGGGCCGAGCCCGGCCATCGTGCAAAACCTCAAGGAGAAGGTCGAGCTGGCTTTCTTGGAGGTCCGGATTTAATTTGATTTCATTGTGTCCGCTTGACAAGTCTTCCTAAAGTTATCCTCCCCCTCTGATTCTGGGCCTGAGGCCACCAAAGATGCTCACATCGGCGACATGATGTCGCGGTGGTTCCCCCTGACGCTGGAAGGCCAAAGTGAGTTTGCGAAGGTGGGCTCATGGACGGGTTGGTGTTAAGTGCGACGCCAGACGTGACCTCATCAGTTGGCAGCAGAGGTCATGCTGCATTATGTGGGCCTCCCCGCAGTGGCCCAGCATGTGCAGCCCCACCGGGCGATCAACCACATTCCTGCAGACTCCAAGACGGACATGTGGCTTAATCCCTGGATGATCGATTACTCACGCCAGTGCAAGTACGGCGACTCGACTTCAGTCTGGAAGCACCCAGTCTAGACATGTTCAGTTGCTGCTCGGTCGTCGTGCTTTAGTGTGTGAACAGTTCTACCTGGTTGTGAGGTGAGAGCAGCAAGTACCCGGACATGTGCACATTGCGGGTTCACTTTTTCTCGATCCTGGCTGCCGGCTTCGAAGCTTCGAGAGAGCCTCTCGATGTGAGGTTTGTTTCCGAGAAAGGACATTTGGACAGCATTTAATGTGCCACCGTTTAGTCAAGCGGGTTGTGTTGGCATTCGTCCAACTTCACCGGTGAGGTTCCCTGCCCTTGGTAGACGGCATCGAGCTGTTCAGTGTGAAGCTTGTCGACGGCTTTACGAAAAGCCTGTGCGTCCAGGCTATCTTCGCACTCCTCAGCAAGCTGGACTACTTGGTTGCACTTAATCTTTGTCTGTGGTTGTGTTGGACAGTTTGATTTGTTGATTAGTTGACATTGATTGTTTGTTTGTTTCCTTCTCCGTGTATCTACTGTTGTTTGTCTGTGACCCGGACCTGCGTCCGTGTGTCTGTGTGTCCGCGTGTGTGTGTGTGTGTTTTAGTTTATTTAGTGGTTGTGTTTCTGTGTGTTCATTTTGCTGTTTATGTTTGTGTGGGAGGGGAGGGGCCGGTGGGTGGGTGAGTGGGTGGAGTGGCTGGGTGGAGTGCATGTTTTTTTTGTGTGGTTGAAGTGCATGCGAGGACGTGACTGCGGAGGACTTAAGCGAGGACGAGAGCATGGCAACTTGCGTGGCCACTCTGAAGTATCTTAAGGGCAACTTCAAGCGCCACGACCGCGAGGAGGAGTACCTCTATGATGCTCTTGCGCTGACCCAGCGGACTGGAGAGAAACAGCAGGCCAGTCCGATGGAGTTGGTCTCTGTGTTCAGCGAGGCAGTTCGTTTGAAGAAGAAGACCATCGGTGCCAAATCAACCCGCGACCTTCTCAACCTCTGTGTCCAAGATTACAATAAGGTCGTCGGGAAGGTCAGGGATCCGTGAAAAACCTTGAATACCTTTTGGTTTCTGTAGAATCCCTGTTCCATAATGTTTGAATGTCAACCCGAACCTTAAATTTAAGGCCGAAGTATAGTAGCTAGGTTTATTGGATTTATTGGTTCACGACCCATTGGACCAAACCGACCCTAGTTTGTGAGGTTTAGTAGAGGCCATTCTGGTTCTATCCTGGCATGTCTTGTTTAAGGGATACTTTCAGATACCTGTCAGGGGCAGAAGCTCAAGCAGGAAACCGTGAAGATCATCTACAATGTTTTGCGATGCCCTTTGATTTTCAAGGAGACCTTGATGACCATG